AATTGTGTGTGATGTGGTGAAATGGACAAAAGTAAAGATTTGAGCAAGGCCTTTGTTTCATAATCTTGTTTTTTAAGATGTAAAAATTTTTGGCTAAGTATCATGACACTTAAAAGAGGTAGAATGTGATAAATTGGAACTTACCAATCACTCCAACCTGGATAGGCTTGCCCAAAGTCTCTTGAAAACCTCCAAGAAGTTTCAAAAGGCCCTCTTTGCCAAAGCAGACTTTATGTTTGAATGAAACAGCTTTCTTCTTTACCTTCAGGTGTTAAAATTTCAAATACATTATTCTGACAATACATAAAACCCAACCACCAGACTACTTCCCTTCAGATGATCTTTGGATAAAATCAGAGTTGGATCTTGTTATTTTTCACTTTTTTATCAACTTCTTACATACTCATCATATTTCAACCATTCAAAATCTGAAAGAACCACACTTCCCACCATTATCATTAAAGTGTACCTTGGTTATCTTCCTTTTATCCTTCGGATTTGTAAAGGCTTTGAAAACCACTGTTGGCAATTCTTTCGTCAAATAATTGAGCCAATTCTCCAAATTCTCCTTTGGTATTAGATCTGATAGAAATTAAGAACACAACAAGTCTCAACTTGGTCATTCTGTTGAAATGAGGTTTTTTTTTGATATTAGGGATTGAACTCGGGTCCTTGCGCTTCCGCAGCAGTCGGCAAAACCACTGAGCTAAATCCCCAGCCCTCTGTTGAAATGAATTTTAAAAAATCTTTTTCTTTTTGGTACCAGGATCGAACTCAGGACCTTGTGCTTGGCAAGGCAGGTGTGGTGCCACTGAGCTTCATTCCTGGCCCTAAAAAATCTTTTAAAACGTAGATTTCACTCATTTGCCTTTTCCTAGTTCATACAAAGGGATTTAAGTGGAATGGAAGGGGAAGCTTCCTACCGGGCTGCCCGTCTTAAGAAAGCTCAATTATCTACTCTTCTACATTTTAATTCCTCCCTACATTGCTCAGCTATGTTTCCTGGACTGATCTTCAGCTAGCAGTCACTTGTTTTCTGACACCTAGCAATGATTTTCAATCCTGTTCCTACTTTCTGCTTCACAAGTCTGTGTTCTAGGTTTTCCTCTTCCTGCTGCTCAGACCCAATATGTAACTATTTCATGTAAACATTCTATCACATACACTCCAATTTATCTTGTTCCTGTACTAAAAATACTGTGTAGAAAATAGAGGGAACAATCTGGTACACTCATCACTTCCTATATGAAATATACTACACAGCTGGGTTGCATTTTTAAAAACAGTAGTTAGGTAATGAATGGCAAAACAAAAAACAACGAAAACCCTAGAAAAACCAGTTGAATCAATTCGAGAAACCACCACCTCTCAACTACCGTGCACTGTTTTTGGCAACCATAGTACACATGTTCCGGCTTTGCTGAGGTCAGAGTTGGATCTCATCAGTCTTCAGTTACAGTCAGACTGATTCAGATGTTTTCCTCACACCTCACCAGTGAACAAAGAAGGCAAGGGGCATCCCTTTTGCTCACCTGATTTATTTAGTACAAGTACCAGCTTTTTATGTCCACTCTGGACAATCACCTCTTCTACCTGAGGACACCTGCAACCAAGAGGATCTCTGGCATCCAATACCTCTAGCAAAATATCTGAGGCCTCGATCACCTGTCAAGGAAGAACAACTGTAACAGTATCTCTTATTCTGGGAATGCCCTTAATATGAGCCTACTAGCATTATCTACCTAGCAAGGAGGTGAGCTCAGAGTTGGATCTCATGTCTTCACATGGAATGAAGAATAATGAAATGCTCATCATTTCTCACAGGCAGGTAACACAAGCTTGCTCAAAGTCTCTAATCAACAAGGATTTTAAAAACAGAACTGTCCAGAGCTGGGTGTGGTAGTGCATGTCTATAATCCCAGCACTTGGGAGGCTAAATTAGGAGGATTGCCGAGAGCTGAAGGCCAGCCTGAACTACATAGGGAGACCCCTGTGTCAAAACAACCCAAACCAAAACTGTCTAATGAATAATCCACCCACAGTGATTTATATAGTTTAAAAAGCCCATTTGGGGGCTCTATTTACAGCTAGAAAATGTGTGTTGAGGGGATAGTGATGAGCAGCAATAACAATCACCCTTCTCACTTTAATTAGTTTCCAGAACTTCCACTTTATAGAGATGTTATCAGGTTAGGGAATGACTATTTTAAAATCTCATTACCATTTTTAGACACTGACCTAGATTAAGGTACCTTTTTAAGTTCCAGACAATGTACTGTCTTCGGATTCTGTTTGCTCAGCTTGGCTTTCTTAGGTTTGCTTTGTCCAAATTCCTAGAGAATACAAAGATAAGGGGGAAAACACAAAATTGACATACTAGTAATTGTAACTTGTACCTTCACATTTTCCATAGCTGATTAGGGGGGCCAGGAAGTTTGGCGTTTGTTTTTTTTTAAATAGGAAAGAGTCTGAACTCAGTTTTCTTCCTTCCAAGAGGCTCTGGGGATTGAACCCAGCCCTTTACACTGGGCTACATGCCCAGTCCTTTTTTTATTTGTCTCACTAAGTTACTCAGCCTGGCCTCAAAATTGTGCTACTTCTGCCTCAGCCTCCTGGAGTGCTGAGATTATAGATATGCACAACCACGCCCAGCTTCCGCTCTCATATTTCAAAGAGATGCAATCCTACCTCCACAGATTCAACATTAGATGGCTCATCGGCAGGATCAGTTTCAAGTTTTCTTTTCTTGTCTTGCTCCTTCTGCCGATCAAGTTTCTGCTGCTGTTTTAATTCTTCAAGCTGTGTCCAATCCATAAGAGAAAGGAGTTAGCCAATGAGTGATGCTGTTACTTTACTTTAAAAAAATACATACCCACACCACACCACTTTCAACGTTTTGGCTAACCTACCTGCTGTTTTCTTAGCTCTGCTTCCCGAAGAAGAGTCTCCTTAAAGGGAGCACTGTTTGGAATTCCCGGGTCTTTCCTAGGCTTCTTGTGACCCCGTTTTTTGGCTTCCTTCCTCAATTTTCGATGGTGTTCTCGAACCTATTTTAAAAAACAAAAACAACTATATCCCTTTAGAAAAACTTTTTTATTTAAATAGAATTTAAGTTAAGAAATCAAACTGGCTGCAGTTATGCATGTGAAATGTCCTTGAAAAAGAAAGCTTTAACTGGAATCATACACAGAAAATGCACATGCATATATAAAACAGCAAGAAAATATAACTCTGCAGAAATTATATTAAAGTTTACAGAATTTATTACTTCTCCACAGTTGCACTCCTGATCCCCATGGTCAACTCAATCCCTACATTATTAATCCAGACTTCCAGAAGAAGGGTCAGAAATCAGGTTAGCAATGTATTTGGTATAGGTCTCCAGGAAAGACTTACCTTTTTTTTAATTTTATACCGTTTATGGCAGGTCATGCGTTTACTTGCTTTCTTTAACTCTACGATGAAAAAATTACCTAATGTTAAGAATGATATGGAGCATCTAATAAGTAAAATTAGCACTTACAAATCCCAGTCAATTTGGGTTTTTTTTGGTAATGGGGATCGAACTCGGGACCTTGCGCTTGCGAAATCCACTGAGCTAAATCCCCGGCCCAATCCCAGTCAATGTGAGTCAAGAGATTCAGGATAGAGCTGGCTCTCTACACCTTCTCATATTGCATCTCCAAAGCGACAACCACTATGGGATAAGAATCACCAATCAAGCTCTTCTAACGGCCTGTTACGCATTCTGTAAAACATCCTTCTTTTCCTACTTTGTTTTTTTGGTACCGGGATCGAACTTGGGACGTTGCACTTTCGAGGCAGGCGGCAGAACCCCTGAGCTAAATCCCCGGCCCTCTTTTCCTACTTTTAATTGACCCACACTTATTCTGGAAAGCTATCGTTTCCCTTTCTTTGGTTCTCTGAGACAGGGTCTCGCTCTGTAGTGCGGGGGGGGGGGCGCCTCGAACTCGAGGCAATTCTGCCTCAGCCTCCTGAGTGCTGCGTGCGCCACATGCCCAGCTGGGAAACTACTTCTTTCCCTAACTTTAATAAAGGTAAAGCCTCACTTAAAAAAAATAAAAACCAAAAAATAAAAATAAAAGTAACCATCAATCACAACAGAGGTGAGAACGAGTGCCATTGGGAGGTGGCTCTCGGCTAACGCAAAAAGGGAAACGCTGGACCTAAAACCAGGCTCAGATGCTGTTTCCCCATAAAAATCTGGGCTGATGTTTTCCATCTTCGGGGATGGCCTTTGTTCTGCACAACGGGTCCACGGTTAACAATCTATTCAGGGCCTTCCCATCCTCAGTTCCACGCGGGAACCGAGCGTTGGCCTACCAACAGTTCACTCCCCAAATTTCCGCAGAAGCCAAGGCGCAGAAGAGCGATCACCAGAGACAGGCCTCTCCACATTCGCCTCACAATCCCACTCACTTGGCCGCTTCATGCTGGCTGTGGAAACGGTAGACACAACACGAGCAGCGGATACAAAGTGACTGTGCTGGCGCCACGTGCGAACTGAGGCCTCGGATGACCACCACGTACTCACGTCACTGCCGTCAAGTACGTCGCCGTTCTTCCGCGTGCGCGCGCACGCAGTGTCGCGCAGAGTTGGGATCACTTGGCGGCCGCGGGCTGGTTTTGCGGCGGCACTGGGAGGGGTGAGGGCGGTGAGGGCGGCGGTGCTGGAGCTGGAGCGACGGCAGCTGCCGCGGCCGGAGGAGCAATAGAAGCAGCCGTGGCGGCTACGGGGCGGGGCGCAGCGGTCGGCGACCGCGGCCGGGGCTGCAGGCGGCGGAGCGGCTGGGTAAGGCCGGTCCCGGGGCGACGGGGCTCTTCTCTTACGGCCAGCCGCCAGGCCTTTGTGTGGGCCCGGGCGGGCGGGAGGAAGCCCCGCCCCAGCCGTGAGGACGCTCGCTCGGGTCGGGCCGGGCGCGGCGTGGGGCGGATCGGGGCGGGGCGCGACGGCCCTCGCGCGGGCTCAGCTGCCTCGCCGCACCTGCTGGCCGGGACAAAGGCGCGCCAGGGCCCGGAAGCTCCCGCGCCCCTTTCCCGCTGATCGCGGGACAGCTTCAAAGCTGTCAACGTTTCCCTTAGTCCCGTATCAGTGACAGGTCAGGAAAGTCCTCCTTTTCTTCCGCAACATGGGGCCTCATTTGGTTCTTATTTCTTGACGGTTCGACAAACTCTCCTAAGAAATTTCGCTTGCCGTGTGATTTGTTCAAGCCGAGTATTTTTCAATGGTACCTATATTCGGAATAGACCAGATATTTCAACTTTTCGACTGCAATACTACAAAGAATTGGGGTTTTAAAAACTATTCTTTGATTATAAAATATTTTTTATAAGTTTTCTTGAAGGGAAGCAGTTTTGTTATTATACGAAAGTAATTTTGATTTTAAGGGGAAGAAGGTTGCAAAAATATAGAAGAAATCTTGAGAAATAAATGACAAATAGTAGAGTGTAGAAATTTTTACAGTGATATAGTAGCATATGTTGAAGTAAAACATTTTAACCTAGACTTCTCAAAAATGATTTTAGTGGCCCCCCCTCCCCATTTAGTAGTACGCTTTTCTCCAAATGTAATTCGGAAGCAATTTGGACTTAATACAAATATTAAATAGAAGTATAGCTTTTACTTTGGTAATTGTTAACCATTTGATCATAGTTTGAATCTTAAGATCTAAAATAGAAGATTGGAAAGCATATTTTGAAGATGTATTTAGGGTTAAAACGGTAGCAAATGTGTGTGGGTCGATGGAAGGGCCTTGACCACTTTCTTGGAATTTAAGAGTATACAAAAATACCTCAAATAATAATTTTTACCAAAACCTGCAATGTAAGTAAATTGTAGTATATTTATGTATATGATAAATTGCTAACAAGCCATTAAACATGAGGAAGAATGTTGACTTGGAAGAATTTTTTCTTAGTTAAAACACAGGCTACAAAATAGTGTATATGATTTGTTCACATTTATTTAAGAAAAGTAGGTAACTAAGGTATAAATATGAAAAACTCTGAACTTAAATGATAAAGGGTGGTTTTCCTCTGGGAAATAGGATTGCTGTATCGGTGTTCTTCTGTTTCTATGTTTTGCCTTTGAGTTCTGTTTTCCAAGATTTTTATTTTAAGCAGTGTTACAGTACTGAATTATCCTCGGAAACACAGGAGAATACTAAAAATTTATATATTGTCAGAATATACGATTTGGGTATGAGTCAGTATTCTCCCAGTTACACATTATTACATGTTCTGTACTGCTTCCGGTAAATTATCATTGGTTATCAGACTTTTGGACTTGTGACTTACACCTGAACTACAAAATCTGTTTCTTTCCTTCTCCCCCAACCCGATCCTTCACACTGAGCCACATCACCAGGCCTTTTTTATTTTTTGAGACAGGGTCTTAAGATGCCCAGGCAAGGCTCATATTTGCAGTCCATCTGCCTCAGCCTCCCAGAGTGCTGGGAGAACAGGTAGGCACTACAGAGCTGGGCTGTTGTTTTCCTCTTTGTGATAAAAGAATTATTGAAGGGCTGCCTTTTTAAACTACACACATCGACATCAATGTTTATTTTAAAGGTCTCACTTCAGTGCATTTTCATTGTTTATTAAAATAGAGCAACCTATATCCAATATTGTTCTATAGGACAAGGCTACAAAAAAAATGACATTTTGTGCACAGGGAGCATGTAGTCCTAGAGTTGTGGTTTGAAGTTTCAAAGTGATTTCTTGTATATTGTCTCTTTTCACTGTCAAAACAGTCCAAAAGGATATGTGTACACTTTCTTGTTCTCAGTTTAGAAATGAAACAGATCTGAGGGGGTGTAACTCAAGTAGGATGAGAGAGGTTGAAGATATGGAGCTCCTAATCTTCTGATCTCAGCACATTCCCTTTGTTGCCAAACTTCCAAATTACATATTAAAATGTATTCTTGGGGTTGGGGATGTAGCTCAGTGGCACCGCGTCTGCCTCGCAAGCGCAAGGTCCTGAGTTTGATCCCTGGTACTGGAAAAAAAAAAATGTACTCTTTGGATTCAAAATTTTTAATAATTATTCTTATTTTGCATGTTTTTCTAATCTTTCCAAAGTAAATTAATGCTTCCAGGAGTTTTGGATAGGGTGTCATCTAAACAACGTACTTATACTAGTGATTTACATGTTTTGTCATTTGATTTTCAGTGGATTATTTATAAAAATAATTTTGAACTGCCAAAATAGTGGAAGGCTTTTTTAAGAAACCTTGGTAGGGGCTGGGGATTTAGCTAGGTGGTTCTGGCGCCTGCCTCACAAGTGCAAGGTCCTGAGTTCGATCCCTGGTACCAAAAAAGAAACTTCGGTAAGCTTATATGTGATGTCTTCCCAGTACAAATAGGAAAGAGTGTTGTGTTTTTCTGAATTTTGGGAGAGGAGGGGAGGGATTTTCCAGACTCTGCTCATATGAGCCATTCTTGGTTTGTTCCAGCCTTGCTAATGCGCGGTGTCACATGTGAGCCTCACACATGTGTTCACTCTCCTTTTCAGCTCTGTGATTGAACTCTGCTCTTATTGACTAGGAGGCATTTGGGCAGGCATGCTTCATTCCTGGAATTGACAGTCATTCCATGTGAGTAAAGGGGAACCTCAGTGTGACATCTTTAAGCATATGAAAGTATTTGGTTTTAAAATGGAATGAGCCTGGTTGATGGCACATGCCTGTAATCTCAGAACGCGGGAGGTTGAGTCAGGAGGATTTCCACAAGTTTGAGGCCAGCCTGGGCTACATAATAAGTTCAAGGCCACCCTGAACTACGTGGTGAGACACTATCACAAAAATAAACAAAATAGAGGAAATGTCAGGTACTGTTAGTTCCTGAGCCTCTGAAGCAGTTTGGTAGACATAAGTGAACTGATATACCTGTTTTCTGTAGTTTTCATTATCTTTCTGAGCAGTTTATTTGAATGTTTTCTATCTGTACTCATTTTTCTTCTTCTGACTCTTCTTTTCGATTTCCCTTTTCTCTGCCTTCTCTTTCAGTTTTGAATTTACTAACACTGAATCAGTCCTTCTAAAGTCCTGCCTTCTCTCACTGGCTTCAGTTGGCATTCAGACATAATGAGGAGACTGGCTTTTCGAGGCGCTGGTTGTGCTCTGGTAAAGCTGGTAAATTACTGATTATCTACACCCTTTCCCTTTTCTGTCTTTCCTTGCCTTCTCCCTTCCATCTCTCTTAAATTTTTATTATCCTCTCCATAAAAGGTCCCTCCTGTGTTCATCAAATTCACCTGTGTCCTTGTCTTAGCTCTTTTACAATGGATTGGTCCTTAATTCCTTTAACTTGAATTTTGGCCAATTTGTTAGCTGAACAAATAGTGACAAAACTTGGCTGTCCTTATTTTAAGCTTTTGGAAGTTTTTAGCCAACTTCAAACTGATATATTAACAGCATCCAAAGCCTAAAGGAACATCATGATGGTGAATTGTTTTAAACACCATGTATACTTTATTTGGGATGAAGACATATGAGATTCCTCTTGTTTCTTAGTTGCTTAACAGGATTTTTTGTGTAATTTGCTCCTGTTTTCAGTTTCCTGGAGATCCCCAATTTTTCTCCTAGCACTACTGGCAGCCAATGTTCTACTGTTCCTATTCATTTTTAGTTTCCTGAATATGAACATTGATGACTGAAACTGGAATCTGTTTTGTCTAGCTTTAGAAAAAGACTTCTGAAATTACAGTATACCATTCAGTACTGCTATTACATTGCATAAGCCTTGTGGACACCCCCCCCCCCCTTTACCGGGGATCAAACTCAGGACCTTGTGCTTGCTGGACAGGTGCAGCGGCTGCTGAGCTACATCCCCAGAGTATTGTAGACTTTTTGAGGGTATACCATTTCTCTGTAACTGTAGCAGATTCTTTCAGTCATTCTATTTTTTATGTTACAGTCAAATGCATGTATTTATAAAATTGTGCTAAGATTAGTTTCTTAGCAACCAGCCTAAAACTGCTGCAAAACAAAGCAAAAACAGGTATTTTTGTGTTTCTGAACACCCAAGCAGAACCTAAAAGCTTGCTTACGAGGTGAGGCATATCATTTAGTCCAGTGGTGGTGAATGCCGCAGCAGGCTGTATTATTGAACACTGAAAGGTCCACTATCACTGATCTAGTTAGACTTAAAGTTATGATTTCAAATTTTGCAGGTATAGGGACTGGGGATTTAGTTCAGTGGTGCCGCACCTGCCTGGCAAGCCTGCCTGAGTTCGATCCCCAGTACTGGAAAAAATCATTTTCAGGTATAGAGCATATCATATAACTGTAGAGGAGGTAGTCTGGATTAACAGAAGTTTCAAAGCCCCATTTTGCTATTCTGCCTATGTATGACAAGTTATAAGTTTTTTGTAGGGGTATATCCTGTGGATCTTGCTGTAATGAGTATGGAAACTTCATTTTCAAGGTGTTCATTTTAAGGATAAATCTAAAATGCTAAAGAGATAACTTTCCAGTACCCCCCCCCTTATTTGCCTTATGCACTGTTTCCTGGTCTTTTCCACATCATGGCCCACTTGGAAAATGATCATAATTGCAAAGCACACAGGAAAACAGATGAGGCTGCTGACACCAACAGTTACTATTTTGTTAACCCTTGTTTTGTTTTGTGTTTTGTGGTACTCAGGTCCTTGTGTTTTTGAGTCAGGCGGCGGAACCACTGAGCTAAATCCCTGGCCCAATAGTTACTATTTTGGAGCCTCTGTCTCTGAGGGCTGCCTGGTTGCCACAGGGGCTTAGGGATCAATACTTCAGGGGCTTAGGGATCAGAACCTCCAGGGCACTACTGTATCACTACACATGGTTTGGAAAATGCCAGTCCAGGATAAATATGGGGGCCAAAGTGGTTGAATCATCAAAATTGAAAGTACAACAAACCTACAGCCCGTTATCCTCCTTTGCAACAGACAAAATATCCTCTTGCGTCAAGGAGACAGTTTGGTGGCAGGTGACCAATTGAAGGCTTGGTGGCAGAGTTAGAATTTAAATATAACAATGAGGCTAATTATTTCTTATAGAAGAAGTTGGATTCCATGGGTTCCAAGAGAAGAAGAGCTACCTCTCCATCTAGCAGTGTCAGCGGGGACTTTGATGACGGACACCATTCTGTGCCCACACCAGGCCCAAGCAGGAAAAGGAGGAGACTGTCCAATCTTCCAACAGTTGATCCTGTGAGTGGTACAGTTTCTGACTGCTTTCCCCGTGATTTCCCTACCCTTTTATGGTGAAGTGTTCGAGATACAAGGTTTCTTCATTTCTTTTTCCAATTAACTTTTTTCTTAGGAAAAATATCTGTTTAGTCAAAAGTCTTATAGTATGGGACAGGATGTAACTCAGTGGCACTGTGCCTTCCTGGCAAATGAAAGGTCCTGAGTTCAATCCCTGGTACTGCAAAAAAAAAAAATTTCGTGGCATGTGTTCACTTAACAGATAATTGTGTGCCTGTCATGTGATAAGCATATTCTGGTGATTGGGATATAGATATGTGTGAGGCAAGCCCATTTTTCACATGGAACTTAGATTCCAAGGTGGGGGAAACAGTGTAAAAAGTGAACAAATAATAATATCATCAGCTAGTGATAATAAGAAAAGTTTGGGTGATTTAACTGTTTTGTCCTGAATCTTCTGGGATAATCTGTGTAAAAATACAACCAATCATGCAGAGGGTCTGGATTAGGGATGGTTTGGTATATTGTGATTATAGAAAAATGGTTAAGAAGGAGGAAACTGTTGAGTTCCCACCAGCCAGAGTATGTAAGGCCTTGTAGTCAGTGTTAGGAATTTAGATTTTATTTTCTGTGTAATGCAAACCACTTTATTGGGTGATTTTAAGCAAGAGAATGATATGAACAGATTTAATTTTTTTAACAGATTTAATTTAAAAGAAAAAATAACCAGTAGCATATATCTGATGAAAGATACCAGAAACTTAACCAATTAGATTATTTTGAAGGAGACATACAGCATTATTTCAGACTTGAATTCTCATCTGCTAATTTGGGGATTCGTCCCTTTTCTTCTCTATTTGCCTTTTGTAGTTCAAAAAGATTTATTTTAATTTTAGAGTAGTCTGTAATTCTTTTTTTTTTTTTTGGTACCAGGGATCAAACTCTGGACCTTGCGCTTGCAAGGCAGGTGTCAGAACCACTGAGCTAAATCCCCAACCCTAGTCTATAGTTCTTATGCCTAGACTGGCTTTCTGTTTACTTTTTTTGGTGACTTTTCTTCTCTTATGTGTAGATTGCTGTATGCCATGAACTCTACAACACCATCCGAGACTATAAGGATGAACAAGGCAGACTTCTTTGTGAACTCTTCATTAGGGCACCAAAGCGAAGGTGAGTTAGAAATACATCAGTACAGTTGGAGGATTTGGTCCAAGATCCCTGTTTAAAGTAATTCATAATTTAGTTTTTCTTTGGAAGGAATGCCTTAAATGATACTGGGGTCCAACTTTAATCTTAGTTGTGAAGATAACAGTAAAGCTTTTTTTAAAAAAAATTTAATATTTCTAAAAAACATGATAATAAAACATGAGATTTATAGTCGTAACCCTTTTTAAGTATACAGTTCAGTAAGTGTTATGTATATTAACATTGTCATGCAACAGCCTCCAGAACTTTTCCATGTTACAAGACTGAAACTCTGTTCAACATTAAACAATTACCCATTTTCCCCTCCTTCTATCCCCTGGCAAGTACAATTCTGTTTTCTATGAATTTCACTATTTTTGATACCTCAAATATATAGAATTATACAGTACTTGTCTTTTTTTTTGGTACTGGGGATCAAACTCAGGTCCTTGCGCTTGCGAGGCAGGCGACGGAACCACTGGGCTAAATCCCCGGCCCCAGTATTTGTCTTTTTATGACTGGCTGTCTTAGTTACTTTCTTATCACTGAGATATACCACCCGACACCCACAACTTGAAGGAGGAAAGATTTTTTTGGGGGGAGGCCTCAGTTTGTACAGATTTGAGTCCATTGTTGGCTAGGTCCCAGGCAGAGGGGCATGGCAGAAGAGTAGGAGCTCCTGGCATGGTAGCAGGAAGCAGAGAGAGATCAAGGGAGGAGGAAAGGAGATAGACCCTTCAGGCCATGCGCCTAGTGACCCACCTCCTCCAACCACACTTAACCTCCCAAATCATATTTAGCTATAAATTCATCAGTGTACTTAGTTGGCTGATAAGTATCACATCCCCATGATCCAGTACCTCCCAAAAGTTCTACCTATGCACACATGAGGCCTTAGGGAGACCTCTAGATATAAACCATAACACTGACTCATTTTACTTAGCATATTGCCCTCAAGATTATTCACCCATATTGTAGCATATGACAGGATTTCCTTCCATTGTATGTGTATATCCCATTTTGTTTATCCACTCATCTATCAGTAAGTAGACTCTAGTATTGCTTCCACCTTGTGGCTTTTGTAAATAATGCTAAAGTGAATGTAGGTGTGCAAATACATCTTTAAGATCCTGTTTTCACCTCTTTTAAATAAATACCCAGAAATGGGATTGCTGAATCATTTGTTAATTCTCCTAGTTTTTTGAGCATGTCCCATATTGTGATAAATAGCAGTGATACCATTTAACATTTCCACCAACAGTGCAACAAGAGTTCTAATTTCTTCAAGTCCTTGCCAGTAATGAATGGTCTAACAGTGTATTTCTCAGAATCTATCCCTGTTGCCAAGGTGTGGTGGTGCATACCTATAATCCCAGCATTTGGGAGTCTGAGGCAGGAAGATCACCGTGAGTTCAAGGCCAGGCTGGGCTACATAGTGAGTTCAAGGCCAGCCTGAACTACAGTTACATAGATGCTATCTCAAAAGAAAAAAAAGAATCTATCCCTGCTGTCCCTCTGTCCCCCCTCCTTTTTTCTGTCCTTGTTTTCTATAGTAGCCCTTCTAATGGGTAGGAGGTACCATTGTGTTTTGATTAGCATCTCAGTAATTAATGATTTTGAGCACTTTTTTCATGGCCATTTGTACATCATTTTGGGGGAAATATGCAAGTCCCTTGCCCATTTTTGAAGTTTTGGGATTTTTGTTTTGTTTTGTTTTTTGTTTTAGGAATTTTCTATATAGTTTGGATTTGATCTCTTTATCAGATATATGATTGGGAAATACTTTCCTACATATGTATGTTGCCTGTTCACTCTGTTAATATGGCCTTTTGAAGGTTTTCATGAAGCCTAGTTTGCCTTTGGTGTCATATTTAAGAAATTAGTGCCAAATCTAGTGTCATGAAAGTTTTGCTGTATATCTTACAATTTTAGCTCTTATTTTAAAACTTTAGTCCATTTTGAGCCCATTTTGAATTAATCTTTTTTTTTTCTTCTGATATTTGGGATTGAACCCAGTTCCTTCACACTGAGCTACATCCCAGCCCTTTTTATTTTTTATTTTGATATGGGTCTTGCTAAATTGCACAGACTGGGGTTGAATTTGTGTTCCGCCTGCCTCATCTTTCCAGCATGCCAAGATTACAGGTGTGCTCACCGTGCCAGCTTGAGTTACCTTTTATATTTGGTGTAAAGTAAGTGTCCAGCTTTCTTCTTTACATGTGGGTATTCGGCTTTCCCAGACCATGTGTTAAAAAGACTGTCCTTTCTTCATTGAAAGGTCTTGGTACCCTTGTCAAAAATCATTTGAAGCTAGCTGTGATGATACATGCCTGTAATCTCTGGGAGGCTGAGGCAGGAGGATCACAAGTTCCAGACCAGCTTGGGCAATTTAGCAACTTAGCGAAACCCTTCTCAAAAGTAAGAAAAACAACTCATTTGACCATATACCCAAGGGTTTATGGTTTGTTTTTTTTTTTGGTACCAGGGATCAAACTCGTGACCTTGCACTTGCACAGCAGGCGCCAGAACCACTGAGCTAAATCCCCGGCCCCCCCAAGGGTTTATGTTTGAAATCTCTTCTATTCCATTAATTTATATGTGTGTTACACACTATTTTATTGTAACTTTGTACAGTGATGTACCTGATAACATTTCAATAACTGATAGATGGCATATGCAGTAGTGTTCCCATAAAAGTATATTACTTAGTGACATTATAACCATCTTGGTTTGTGTAAGTTGATTTTATGATGTTCTCATAGCAAAATTAACTCATAATGTATTTCTCAGAAATTATCCCCAATACTAAGTAGTAAGTTTTGAATCTAGGAAGTATGAGTTCTCTAGCTTTGTTATTCTCTTTCAAGACTGCTGTGTTTTTTGTTTTGAGACAGGGTCTTGCTGAGTAGCCTGAGCTGGTCTCAAAATCGCTGTGTAGCCCAGAATAGTCTCTTAATTCACTGTGTAACCCAAGCTGACCTCAAACTTGGAAACCTCATGCCTTAGTCTCCCAAGCACTGAGATGTAGGCCTGTACCACTGTGCCTGACCCATGTCTGTTTTGATGCCTTTTGAAATTCTGCATGAATTTCAGGATGCATTTTTCTGTTTTTGCAAAAATGCTGTTGGAATTTTGATAGGGATTATATTGAATCTATATAAAGTTTTAGGTTGCATTTTATTTATTTATTTATTTATTTATTTATTTATTTATTTATTTATTTATTTTTACCATGGATTGAACTCAGGACCTTGTGCTTGTGAGGCAGGCACAAGCGCCACTGAGCTAAATCCCTGGCTAGGTTGCATTTTTAAAATGCCAAGTCTTCA